GGGTGGGGGCGGGGCGTCTCCAAGGCAGATAGGCCCTGGGCCGCGCGCACCTGCTAGCTCGTCCCCTCAGCTCCTATCGGCATAGTCGGCATAGAGGACCCTCCACGGTGACTGACCGGCCCTATCGGGGCTAGGAGTGTGTCGGTCCTTGGCGGGCTTGCAGTGCCCACTGTATACAGAGCGCCGAACCTTTGCACCTCCCTGCCTGATGTGATAGGCACGTCGCCGGCGGCCGGGAGACGTCCCAGTGACGGTACCTCGGCCGCCGTTGCCGGCCTCGATGTCGGTGGCCGCAGGCTCTAGAGGCCGGGCCGGTAATCAAATCCTCTGCAAGAGCCCGCCGCCGCGATGACTTGGCGCTCCGATATGCCGGTGGGCGGGGGCGGGGGCCTCGGTCGGTGGGGGCGCGGCGGGCCGATCAGAATATCACCCCAAAGCGCGCGCGCGGGCAGTTACGACACACTGTTCCAGCCATATTTCTTCTGATCTACTACTTTTTCCACTTCTACTAACTACCCTCCACAGGCAGCCACAAAGAACATTTGCAATAATTCGACGATGCAAATATGTGTTGGCGAATTTTAGTACGTTGCACTGGTCTCCTGATACTGTCATACATTGTCTAGAAATATCTGATCGGCTAATCAACTTGTCGTTCAGGCATCGAAAAATATCGGAAAAATCGTATCTTGTCGATTCATTTTGCTATCATCCCGATAGTTGGCCGATAAAATGATACGTACTTATTTCTTGTGAACTCCTCGAAAGTTGTAGATCTATCACGTTTTTAAGGAATTGCAAATTTACTTTACTCTAGAACTTGTTTTTATTTTCTCGTGCACTTCCACTCGCTTCTACTCACTAATACAACTTCTACATGCATCCCCCCCCTCTCCTCTCCATACTTGACATCTCTTGACACTGCACAACACTACCGCACGCCCTGGGTCCTGACAGGGAAGTCCCCGCTCCCGCAGTACCAATACAGAGGTCTTTCGAGACCTGGTGAAGTGAAGTACCTGGCGCTGCTCCGGCTCGGGTCCTGTCGGGTGCTGCTGCTCGTACGACCGGATCCCGCCTCGACTCGACTCACGGCGCCGACGAAGCGTCCTGCTGCGATTCCGCCTCTCGACTGACTTGAGGCTGCGGCCGGCGCGGCGATGCGGTGGGGCCGCGACCGCGCCTTGCCCCCCTCCCCCCACC